GGTTTAGATATCTGAAAGGAGGGAAATCATAATATAATCCCTCAGCCTGAGTAAAGTATAACAGACCACAAAAGCTTTGGATAGGTGTAGCATGCCTTGTACACCTTCCTCCAGATAAGCCATACCTAAGCCCCTGCCTTTGTCATTTAATGGTTATGATTTAATTGTGCCTTCCAACTCTTTCCAAATCTGTCACCCCCAGAATATAACCAGGATGCCAATGGTCCAGTAATGCCAGCCTTTGGACACTGAGCCTGCAACTTCCTGGTAATAGCCAACTGACCAGAATTCTGTAAGGTCCTTCCCTTTACAGGCAGGACTCCCTCCGTGCTGCACCCACTTTCAGGGCACCCCAGACCCACGGGTAGGTAAAACAACGTCCATTTCTAGCCGGAAGCAGTTACAAGAAGATGAGACCTTCGTCCATTGTCCTTTAAAAGAATTTAAAGTGGGTATATATCTAAAATGAAAAATCATTACAAGTTGCAGCCAAGGGGGGGACCCCAAATGGACATTTGGGGTGGAGTCCAGAATTCAAGGTGTCCAAGGAAATTTTAGGATGTCTTCACCCCTTCCCCACAAGTGTAAGTTGGAGGAGGGACACACAGAGCAAAATATGCGGGACTGTTTTGTACAGCACCAGGTTTGCAGTTAACCATGGCATGGTCATTTAACATGCCTATAGCCTTCAGCTGGTCACTTGGATATGCTAAATGGCTGTGGCCATGCTCTGGGCCAGGGAGATAAAGAAAGACTCCCCTGCCCAGAATGTGACAAGGAGGCAGGTCCCCCGAGTGGGAGCTTAGAGAAAAATTAGCTCCATAACATGGGGCCACACCTGCCCAGACCCATGATAACAGCCAGACGGGAGCGGGTACCGGCCTATCCAGGATCTGTGGGCTGTCTACAAAGCAGCCACCAGCCGCCACCCAGTGGTCCTGAACCCGTGCACCCTCCCGAGCCAGCTTCCCCCAACAGCAACGTGGTTTACGTGCCTTAATCTGAAGGATGCCTTCTTCTGCATTCCTGTGGCACCTTCCAGCCAACCCATTTTCCGCATACAGCGGTCAAGACTCAGTTAACCTAGACTAGACTGCCCCAGAGGTTTAAGAACTCCCAACCCTATTTGGGGAAGCCCTAGCAGGAGACCCCTCGCTAAGGGGGGATGGACCTGACAATTCTGCAGTACATGGACGACCTCCTCCTGGTGGCCCCATCCCAGGATCGGTGCCAGGAGAGAACGCACACGCTGCTGAAGTGCCCCCCTACAGTCGTCTGTGCAGTCCTCTGTCATGGCCCTTCACGGTGCTCTGTCAGGTTTGCCTGCCCCAGTGGCCTGCAAGCTCCCTTAGGACTCTGGCAATGTCGCCAGGTGCAGAGCTCAGCAACCAGGCTTGCAAGAAGTACTCACGGTGTGATCAGGGGCGAGGACAGAAAGTGGCAGAGTTGCCAACGCCCTCCAGAACCTTGTCTGATTTCTAAGGAAAATGCTCGTTCTCCTGAGAAAAAGCCAGCCTGCACCCTGCGACTGTGGAACTCGGCCCTACTACCGGGCTTTGAAGGGTCCGGACATTAAGAAAAAGCCTTCCAAAATATTAAGAGGTGCCTCAGTAATGTTCCTGCCCTTGGACTGTCAAAGCCAAGGCAGCCTATTAATCTGTACACCCACAAGAGAAACAAGGTAACCCTCGAATCCTGACCCAGCCTGTCGGACCATGGCAACACCCAGTGGCTCACCTGTCTAAGCAGTTGGACATCTGCTGGCGCCACTGGCTGGCCACCTCATCTGAGGGCAGTCACTGCTGCCATAACCCTCTTGCAAGAGGCATAAGTGGCTGTCGAACCCCAGACTGACTCAATACCAGGGCATCCTCCAAGGAAACCCGAGGGTGCATGTTAAGACCATGAAACAAATCAATCCAGTCACCTACTTACCGGCAGAACTTAGAAAGCTGGACCATGACTGTCTTAAAGTAACTAAAGAGGTCCATGCCAGCCGGCCAGACCTCCAGGACCAGCCCCTGGTCCAACCTGAGGTTGATGTCACCCACTACATAGATGGAAGCAGCTATATAGTTGAAGACAGGAAAGTTGCCAAGTATGCAGACCAGAAAACTGGACTGCCCTGGACAAACTTACTGCTGCAGGAGTCACCCCTTGGATCTATTACAGCCGGGCCAAGACAGCAGAAGATCCCAAAGACCCGAGGACTAGGCCTGTGCCAAAACCCACGCTAAGACAGTGGAGGACGCCAACCAGTAAAAAAGACGCCGAGGAATAGACCGTTGTTCCACAGGGTACCTGACTTTAATTGGCACCTTTGCAGAAGCATTGACAATTGGACTAGTGACTGTGGCCCCTGAGGAATGGAATCCCTGCAAAGCAGGTCACCCTAGAAATAGTTTGTCTCTGTTTGATCTCTGTATTTGGATTTATTGTATGCTTTGCTTAACAGATGCGGCCCCTGTCTCAGCCCCAGCCTGCAAATGTAGTACCCCCAGGCATAGGATTATGCTCAGCGGTAAAGTGGTCTCTTACTATCTCCCAGGGTCAGCTTTCAGCTCCTCCACTGACATGCCATTGGGTTGCATTCAGTCACAGCAATCCCTCTGCACTTGGGGAGGAGAGGTATACTAGACTAGAGTAACATCCAGGACCATAAAGTACCAGACTCGGAGGTGTCAGGCATATAGGACCCTGCATCCTCTGGACCTTAGTCCCACACCTAGGGCTACAGTGACTCATAGGGCAGCCTCCACAGTGCTAGCCCTCCAGCGGTACCAACACCAGTATCAGCAGTTGTAACCCTCCCAAGGACCTCAGCCTTATAGCCAGGTATTAGTGATGCTAAAAGGGATAAAACACCTTATAGCATCAAAGGGGGGGAATGTGGCAGGAAAAGAAAACTCCAAAAGTTTCTTATGCTCTGTAACTGTAACACTTGCAAAGTTTCACACAGGACTGTAGAAGCTGACAAGTCGTAACCAAAGCAACGGCCAGTTACTCAAGGTCGTACACAGACTCCCATGATAAGCTCCTGTGCTCTGTAGCTTCTGCAAATTCCTCCTGAGTTTTCTCTTTGTCTCCCCTATAAGGTAGCTGGACCTAACTTCTGCATTCGTCTTCTGTAACCTTGCTTCGCCACGTAGGTAGGAAGCCCGGGACTATTTAAACTCCGGGAGAGTGAGGATCGGTGCTCAGAGGATTTGGATGTTAACCAGCCCCTCTGGGGCCCCCGGGTAATAAAGTTTGTGCTTCATTATCTCCCCGCGTGTGGGTGGATTTTCCACAACACTGGTATTATGCTGAATAGCAGTAGTAAAAGTGAATCTGTTTTTTCCCTGATTTTAGGGGGATGGCTTTTAGTTTTTCACCTTTCAGTGTGATATTGGTTGTGGGTTTTCTAGATGCCCTTTAGTATGTTAAGAAAGTTTTTATTCTGAGTATTTCTGTCATGAAAGAGTATTGGATTTTGTCAATGCCTTTCCTGCACCCATTGAGAGGTTTATATGGTTTTGCTTCTTTGTTTTATTAATGTGGTGTATTACACTAATAAATTACCTTGTGTCAGACTACTCTTGTGTTTCTGAAATAAATTCCATCTGGTTATGATGTGTAATCTTTTAAATGTGCTGTTTGACTCAGTTTGCTAGTATCTTGTTGAGGATTTTTGGTCTGTAGTTTTTTTTTCTCCTCATGGTATCTTTGTCTGCAGCCCACTTAATTTTATATCCATAGGTAAGATGAGGAATAAACCAATTCTGTAGTTCTGCGCTTACAATAGTAGTGCCAGACCAAAAATACTATTAAAAGAAATTTTGTTTTACAGATTTTATTTGAGAGAGAGGGGAGGGAGAGAGGGATAGAAACATCAACTGGTTGCTGCTTGCAGACTGGGAATTGAACTAGAGACATTATTTCATAGGCCAATGTTTGATCTACTGAGCCACAGCAGCCAGGACACAAATTTCCAACTTTTCCAAGACATAAAATCTATGACTTACTGTTACAGAACAGAACAAGGGGGGCCTGGAACGATATACTATTATTGAAAGAAGGCCCCGGGTCCGTTATGTCCGCCGCCAGAGGAAAGACGTCTCTCAATGCCAGAGATTCGTGAAAAGGAAAGGAAATGTTTATTTAATGCTATACAGACTTAAAGTAGTGACCTAATGTCTTCATCAAAATCCCAAAGTCCTTTAAAACACCCACAAACAGACACAGTCCTTCCTTCCTTCCCCCCTTTGCCCAGTCCAGAGTACCGTATCTCAGGAAAGGAAATAGAAGTCCATGGCTCAGGCAGTCCTCTGGTTCTTCCCAGTTAGTCCTCCATCTCGACTGGGAGACCTCCCTGGGTTCCCGGCACCCTCAGCTGAGTCACCGGGATCTCTGCTAAAACCAGGTGGTGGTTCCCCTTCTAAAGCTGTGGGGATCCCTGCTCTGTCCAGGCCTCGTGGTTCTCCCTTTCAGGGCTGCGGGAGTCTCCACTCTGTCAAGGCCGCGTGGTTCTCTCCTAAAGCAGCATGGTTCTCCTCTTCAAGGCTGTGCATGACTCTCCTTCTCAGGGCTGCGCATGGTTCTCTCTTCAATGGCCGCCACATCTGGGTTTTAAATCCTCGCGGCCAATCTTCCTCTGCAGCCTCATTTCCGACTCCTCCCACACTCGGCTTCACATGCCAGAATTCATATCCTTCCAGCCAGCCAGACCGTTGGGCTGCCATCATGAGTCTGGGCAGGTGTGGCCCCATGTCCTGGAGCCAATCTTCTCCGAGCTCCCACGCAGGCGCTGTAGCTTGGGGGATCTGCCCCCAGTCACGTCTTGGTGGGGAAGTTACTTCCATTCCCCTGGCTCAGAGATGATCACAGCTATTTAACATATCTAAGCGACCAGCCAAAGGCTATAGATATGTTAAATAACCACGCCAGAGGGTAGCTGCAAGGCTGTTGCTATGCAAAACAGCTCTCAATGGTCCTGCTCCATTTGTCCCTTCCCCCAACCCACACCCTGGGTTGGGGGATGGAGACATCTTAAAATCTCCTGTACACCTTAAGTTCTGGACCCCATTTCAAATGCCCATTTGGGGTCCCCCCTCTTGGCTGCACCCTGTAACATTACTTTTGGTGATTTAAATTAGAAAGAATCTGCCTTATTATCTCTATCATAGAGAATGTTGTATACTTGGTACTGAAAAATATATATTTGGCTAGAGTTCTACCATGGCTGTTTATTAGACAGAACAGGAATTTGGCTGCTGGCAAAGAGAAAAGGCTAGGGTCCCAAGAGGGTGATGGGGTGGGAAACACAGGAACATGAAGGACACAAGCTTCCTTAACACAGAACGAAAAGGTTTTCTCGACTTCCTTTTGTTTCATTCTTGCTTTCCCAGTAGAGAAAAAAGATAGTATTTTTCATTTTTTTATTCCTCCAACAATGTATTTCTGCACATGACTATCTTTCTATTATGTTTCTTAGAAATTTAGAAACCTGTGGTTAAGACAAAAACTCACTACCTAGCTTGTACTGATAGTTCAAAGATATTTGAACACAGGACAACATCAGTTTCCAATCTTTTCTTAAAAAAAGATTTTATTTTTTAGAGGGGAATGGAGTGAGAAAGAGAAGGAGAAATCCGTTGCCTCTTGTACATACCCTGTCTGGGGACTGAACCCACAATCCATGCACCCTGACTGGCAAAGGAACCGGTGACCTTTTTGCTTTGTGGGACAAGGCCCAACTAACTGAGGTGCACCGGTCAGGGCGATTCCTAACCTTCATTCAAAATGTTACTTACCACTCTGTTAGAGAGGAGATAATGGGCAATGAGGAATAGCTCCATGGTTTATGGAGGAAGCTTGTGATAGAGTGGAGCTGGCAACAATTCTGATTGCATCTCCCTCCTTTCTGACTCTTTAGCCAAACATACTTTATCAAAATACAACCCGATGAAGGCAAGAATGCCAGGGTTTGATGAAGCTTGAGAACAGTCTGCTGCAAAGCAGAGAAACCATTTTGACCTCACCAGGAACTCCTGCTTTTCTTTCAGTTGGGGTTGTGCAGTCTCAGTCATATGCTGCAATGTACCCTGGACGTGATCAAACCAGTGTGAGAATTAAAACCACAAGTGGATAGCAAAGGGAGGTGGGAGCACACTTAATAGAAAGAAAAATGAACTGGTTATTTGGCATTCTTTCAGTTAGGTTCTTTTGCCTTGAATGTAGGTCTGGTGTGCTTTAGCAGTTTTGCAAACCTGTTCAGATTCACTAAATGATTAAAGAACCTTCAATGTCTAAATTCCTACTTGTTAGGTGAAACTGGACAGCAGTGCTGGGCTCACTGCTTAGGCTCTACATATTTAAACATGCCTAGTGACCATGAAAAGCAAGCTGTTAGAGACATCATAAGAGCCCACTATCTCTGTAATTTCAGGATTAAATAGAAGGAAGATGGGGAAGAAAGGGTGGCTGTTGCTAGCTGTGTAAACTGCAAAGCTGTCAGTGCAGGCAGCTCCCTGGTACTTCCCCAAGCTCTATCAGGATTTCCAGGAAAAGGAAACTGCCAAACTCACCTCTGTACTGACCTGTCTGCTGTGGTCTTTTTCTTTTCCTTCTTTTTCATAAAAGAAAGGTGATTTAGAAAGTTGCAGAGGTAGAAGTGAGCCATAGAAAACATGGGTTCAGGAAACAAGTTATGGCAAAAGAAGGGCCCTTGGAGCTTAGGAGAAAGATAGACAAGAACCTTGCAAGTAGAAAAAGGAGAGGTTAGGGTGTATTGGGGACAGGGGTGGGGGAAGAGAGAGAGAGAGGAAGAAGGAAACACCAATTGGTTGCCTCTGGTACGCAGCCAACTAGGGATTGAACCTGAAACATAGGTATGTGACCTGACTGGGAACTGAACCCGCAACCTTTTGGTACACGGGATTGCTTCAACCAACTGAGCCACCCAGCCAGGGCTCCTCCCCAAATTCTTATGTTGAAACTCTAATGTTTAATGTGATGGTACTAATAGGTGGAGCCTTTGGGAGATGCTTAAGTAATGAGGATGGAGCCCTTATGAACGGGATTAGTGCCTTTATAAAAGAGGACCCACAGAGATCCCTAACCCCTTTCCTCATATGAGGACACAGTCAGAAGGCATCCACTATGAACCTGAAAGCAAGTCTTCACCAAGATGACCATATTGGGGTTTTGATCTTGGACTTTCCAGCCTCCAGAACCATGAGCAATAAATTTCTGTTGTTTATTAATTACTCAGTCTGTGGTATGTTGTTTTGGCAGCTTGAATAGACTATGACATGTAGGAAACAAATCCAGACTCCTTCCGGTGATGGTAAATTAAGCTGTTGGTAAGACACAACTACATAGCCCAGGTTAAAAATGGCACAGTAGTTTAACCCCTGGAATCCAAGAGAACTGAATTGAGGTATCTATTCCTACAAGAACTAGTTGTGTTCCCTACTGTAGTTCAAAAAGATTTGTTAAGATACAACAAAGTTAGCTTTGTAATTTATCAATCATGAATGCACACATGTACATATTACACACACATGCATCTATGCACCCACATATTTGTTCCTTCTTTTGTTTTTCTGGCATGTCCAAGTTTGCAGATATCACCTTAGGGAGAACCCATTCAAATTTCAGGAAAGCCACTTATTCTAAGGACACACAAAAAATTGCTGATATTCTCACCGGAAGTGTTTTTATGTTAAAAAGTTTACAAGGTAGCAATAGAGTTCCCGGAGTTGTATTCAGAAGACTGTTCAGAAAGGCAGTATTAGTTGGCTTCACTCTATGGGGGTGCTCAGCAGCGGGTGAGTAGAGCAGGACTGGGGCCACATTTTCTTCTGGAGGAAGGAGAGCCTTATGCAGGTGAAACTTATCAGAAGCTCTTTCCACATCAAGAGTTTTTTTTAGGATCCAGTTTTATAAATAAACCTAAATAGACAAACAAACAAAAAAAAACCCCTGAAAATAAGTCAACTGACTTCAACCTGATGGGACTTCTCTAAATAGAAATATATATATTCAAAGAAAGGCATTTAGATTCATATTTGTAACTTCTACCTTTCATTTTTCAGCCAAATCGATAATCACCTTTTGACTATCTCAATACTGGAATATCTTCCCGATGTAGCCAGATCCTCTACCACTTGGTCATTTTATGGTTCACTGCCACTTCCATTAAAGACAGTCAGGGAAGTGAAAGCAAGTAAAATTACAAGTGAGCCATCTGGTACCCTTTGTGATACTGAAAGGTTTGGTAAGAAAGGAAGTATAAACCACAGCCTGAAATGAAGTTTTTAAATTTATGTATTCAAATTATTCATAATTTTCTTCCTTCTTCTCTCATCTATTATTTCAGCAAACAACTGATGCTTAGGGCAAAAAAACCCCTGAATTCTTAACACACAAAAAGCATTAACCATAAAGGAAAAGAATTTAATTAATGTGACTACATTAACATTAAAAACTTTTATTCATAAAAAAGATAATTCTTAAAGAAAATAAAAGACAACTTATATAAACTGAAAGAAGATATGTACAGTGTATGTATCCAATAAAAAGATTAGTTTAATATAATATAAAATAATTATAGATAATTATACACCAACCTACCTGGTTCCCTTACCAAGGGCAGCCAATATTAATGTGTGTGGCTTTCCTAGAATAGCTTATGCAATACAAATATCTACAGATATGTTCACTTCCCTCCCACTTCTTTATTTTTCATTTTGAAATAATTTCAAGCTTATAAAAAACCTGTGAAACTACTACAAAGAACTGTTTGCTCCTAAACCATTGGAGAGTAATTTGCCAAAATCTGTACAAAATGACAATATAAAGTTACTCAACACATTATTTGCAAAAGCAAAAGACTGGGAAAACCCACACGTCCAACACCTCGCACACCTAGAACTTGCCACACCTTGCCACACCTGGAACTCGCTTCTCCGACAGGGAGAAACCTGCCTCTCATGACTGCCAGCTCATACTGATGCCACCTACTCTCTGTGGGCTCTACACCCATGCCACTGTCTGTGTAGCAGCCTTGCTTACCCTGCTTGGGCTCTGACACCCTGAGCTGGGCCACGCACCCATGTGGACACCCTTGGTGCTCCACTCAGGCTCCGACATGGTGCTGGGCCGAGGCAGCCACCTCTCCCTTTGGCCTCTCCTTCACCCTGTGCCTACCAAGCCTGACTGCATAACCACTGAATAAATTATTCAGGAAGAAAGAAAGGGGTGAAAGGGAAAGAAGAAGAAAAGGGGAAGAGAATGAGAAGAACCTCTTTACTTTTTCTACACTAATGATAATATCTGCATATTGTATTTTTCATTCAATGTACAGGTCCAGCAGAAGTAACGCCTACTTGAGTGTGGTTGGTAGGGGAATAATATGGGTGTAATATTTTATAGTTTTAATTTGAACATTTCACCTAAAATGTCACATGGTGTGCTTGAGTGTGATGTTGTTATGTTACAGAATTACATGCTTATGATTTTGTAATAAAAAGGGGGAGTTATTTGTGCTGGACCCTGTATTTCAATGAGGGCTCCATATTATGCATGAAGAGTTTCCTTACTCTTATTTATGGCACCACAACATTCCACAGTGCTTTTTATGGAACGCATAATACAGTCTACGGATAAACTGTAGTTTTTTTAACCTGTCTCCTACCTATGGATATCTGTGTTTTGCCAATCTTTTGTTATTCCACATAATGTTGCCTGAGTGACACAATCACCAGGGCACCAGAACAGCCACATGCACTGTAATTTTGCACCTGTGGGATGAAGTCCTGGAAATGGGCCAAAGGGTACATGACTTGGTAATTTTGATCAATAACGTCAAATAGCTCCCTACTGGCATGTATAAGGAATATTTTTATTCTTAACTTATTCTTTGAATGACAGGGAATTAAACACTTCTGGGCATGTGTGACTTATAAAACCAAACCAAAACAAACAAACAAAAACCACCACCACCACCATAAGACCTAGAAAAACCCAAACAAAATAACAAAATCCAAATACCCCAAAGCAAAAAAACAAAACAACAACAACAACAAAAGACACCAAACTAAAACTAAACTAAACCAAACCAAAATAAAGGGAGTGGCAGCTTCTTACTTGTTGCCTCTGAGTACAGGGTAGTCTCATCAACACTCCGAACATCACAGGAAATAAACAGTTTTCTTCCTTCAGTTTTATCAAGTTGGCTATTGATCACAACAACAGAACAAAGGGGGACAGGTCTGCAGAAGAAAAAACAAGGGAAAAAAATCAGTTTTTATCAGATTTATGTAACATTGAGGCATGATCAAGTGCATGACAAGGGGTGGCAACTTATAATACTTGGGTTCAGAAAGAGCTGATTGTCCTAAATGAAATATTCCTTAACAATGCTGACCCCAGCAGCCACTCACATCCTTTTCCTCCCAAGCACCACTGCTTTGAGGTGGCTCCAGGGTATCCAGTCCCTGACTGCCCTGCTGGGTTAGGTTCAGAGGATCCTCAGGGATTCCAGCTTTGTGATGGAATCACACAGGCTGTCCCAGCTGCTGATCCCACGCAGTCTGAAGGGAGCTAAAATCCCTTAAAGAAATAAAAAGAGGACCATGGGATAGTCCTAGTCAGCTTCTCTCCTTTTCCCTGTCATAATCAAAATTTGTCACCCAATCCCTCTAGAGTAACTTTCACTAGAAAGACACTTAATAACAACAAATTGCTGGTAACAGCTGTCCAACAGAACTTTATGTGATGACAGAAATGTTACATATCTAAGCTGTCCAATATGGGAGCCACAGGTGACTGAGCATTCAAAATGTGGCTATTGTGAATGAAAAATTGAATCTTTAAATTTATTTAATTTTAATTAATTTATATTTAAATTCAAACAGCAATATGTGACTGGGGGCTACAGTCACCTTTGTGAATCCTGGAGGACACTACTATAAAGAAAAAGACCTTCCTGCCTTGGCTGGGTAACTCAGTTGATTAGAGCGCTGTATACCAGGGTTGTGGGTTTGGTACCTGGTCAGGGCGCATATAAGTATCAACTAATAAATACATAAATAAGTGGAATAACACATTGATGTTTCTTTATCTCTTTCTTAAATCAATAAATTTTAAAAGAGATATTCCTTTAAAGGTGAAATTATAGCTGGCAGAACAACATAGAACAGGGAGATGTGTTTTGTGCTCCCATAGTACCTCCATGTGGATGAAGGAGCTACTCCAGGTGGAAAGGAAGTTATCACTGTGATTAACCTTTGCTCACTCTTCCCTCCCATTTGCTTTTCCGGAACCTCTTGATGGAACAACCCAGCTTTTGAAAAGACTTCTTGGGCCATTTCAAGATTTGCTAAGACCCAAGGGACATTGGGTCTTAGCAAATCCCCCTTTTCTACTAACATTGTTTCCTTCCTTTCTCCATGTCTTACCCCTCACCTCATTCTGTAATCACACACACTGACAATCTAATCTCCCTTATCTGGGGAATGACCCCCCATTCTTAACCCATATAGACTGACTAGAGTTGACAGCTAACTCCCATCACCCCAGTACACAGTGAATGGTTGTGGGGGTTGGGCAAAGGCCAAAATGGTCAGTCCTGGAACTTGCACTGGAACCCTTGTGACTGGGTTCTTTATCTGCTGAGGCTGGTACAACACCAGCCTGCCTGGTGACCATTGTGGCACTACATTAGGAAGGGTACTTGGGGATAAAGCAGACCCAGAGGAAAGTGCAGCTGAGACACTAATGGCATCATTGAACACCTGCATCCAGCCACACCTGTCTTCTCAACCACACAGGCCAACAGGTTCCCTTCTTTCCTTAAGCTAGTGTGAGTTAAGAGTTCTATCTCTTGTATTGGAAAGAGTCCTTAATTAATGAGAGGCTAAGAGAAAGGATCTCAGAAAATACAAATGAATATAACCACTATATTTATGAAGTATAATTTTGTAAATGCAAGTAATATTTAGGCACAGATTAGTTTGGTTGGCATAGGAAACAGGCTTCAAATAATTTTCCTTAATTTAACTCTACTACATAACTTACTAAGACAATATTAGAGGCAGAAAAGAGGTGAGAGATAAAAAGGAAAATTTAAAAATAAAAGAGAAAAAACATATATATACACAACAGAGAGTCTTAACAAATCCAAAAGATGGCTTTTTGAAAGACTAATAATCTCTGTCAAGAGAGATCAAGAAAAACAAGAGCATAAATAAATACCCTTAAGACCAAAAAGTCACAACTACAGATTTAACTGAGATAACAAAATGAGAATACTATGAATAACTTCATGTCAATAAATTTTAAAATTCAGATGAAGTGAAAAAACATGCAGATATATATGATATCAAAATTGAAAAAAAGAAATACTAGGAAGTCTGAATAGTTGAATAAAGAAGATATTGAGGCCCTAAGAGAATAGGGAAAGGTCCCTGGTCTCTGAATCATTTCAGGGGAAGTCCCTCACTGACCAGAATACCACCCAAGACTAAATATAAACAAAAAGAGTCTACTGACTTAAGTAAGTAAAATGCTGGTACTATTAATAGTAGCTAGTGTTTCCCTAACTGATTTACTATACGTTTTTAAACAAATTCCCTTATTTTTGACTTCTAATTTAATGTGGCAATAGAACTTAGTTGTAAGATTCTGATTCTTTAAAATTATTGAGATTTGATTTATGGACCACTACATGATCAATTTTTGCAAATGCTCCATGTGTACCTGGGAAGAAAGTGTATTTTCCAATTACTGGATATAGGGTTCTATATCTGTCCAATAAATTATACTTGTTATTTCGTGGTGTTTAAATTTTCTCTTTTCTAATTTTTTTGGTCTGTTTCTCTATTATTAACTGAGAACAGTGTGTTGAAATCTTCCACTATGAAAGTGAATTAGTCAGTCAATTTCTCCCTGGATTCTACTAGTTTTATTTATATACTTTGAAGTTATTTGCTAGGTACATACTGATTTGGAATTGTTACTGTCTGCTATTAAACTGAATCTTTTATTATGAAGTAGCTGTCTCTATCCCTAATATAACTTTTTAAACAACTAATTATATTTTCTTCTGATATTCTAGCCCTCTTCTCGTTCGCTTTTTCCTGGCATATTTTCTTCCTTTTGTCTAATATAAATAGTTTATTGCTTCTCACATTTTATAATCTTTTTCAAAATAAATTTTATAATCTCTTCCTTTGAAATAACAGTTTGGTCCATTTATTATGTTTAATGCAATTACTGATTTATTTAGATATTTCTTTTATTTGGCATTCCATTTGACTCACTTTTTTCTCTTTCTTGCATTTTTAAAAATGGAATTTTATTTTATTTACCTTGCTTTTACTTTTCCACTAGTTTAGGCTTTAGTTATACATTCATTTCTCTCCACTGAAAAATACAAAGATGTTGAACATTAATTATGTTCACCCTCTCTCAAACTACAAGCTATTTTTGTTCAATATTTTAGCTGTCCTTTTTTTACTTCCAAGAATTTAGACACTATTATTACTTATATTAGTAATATTACTTATATTACTATTATTACTTATAGTAGACTGTTTAGAGTTACATTGTCTACATGTTTACTCATGTATTTGCTCACTATTCTGTCTTTTCATCCTTCTGCCTGGTGGGATTACTTTCCTTCTTTCTGTGGTACATTCTTTAGAAATTCCCTAAGTATGGTCCTGTTGTTTGTAAACTTTCTCCATTTTGTTGAAACAAAAATGTGTTTATTTTTCCTTAATTTTTAAACTTTAGTTTTTCTGAAAGCATGATTCTGAGGCAGGATAGTAAGAAGCTGGGCAAATTTCTGGGTAAGTGGAATGGGGAAACTGAGACAAAATAATTAAACAAAGCCAAACAATTATGAACAACTCACAGTCAACTAGTGAATCACGAGACCTCATTTTCCCTAACCAAGGACACCTGAGAGCAAATGGTTTATACCTCTCCTCCCTAACCAGAGAATAAATAGCTTAAATCATCCTGTTTGGGGAGATAGAGAACAGAGACTCAATTAATGCCATTTATGCCAGCCATATCCAAGGACTTATAAAGGCAGGGGAACAAAAACCAAAAGCCCAATTAGAGCTGGAATGATCCAACATAAAAGTGAAACAGTAAAGCAGACTAAAACCAAACTTCCCTACCTGTTAATTTATTATGCACCAGGCATATTAAAAACGCACCTGGCCCGGGCCAGTGTGGCTCAGCTGGTTGGAGCAGCATCCTATAACCAAAAGTTTGCTGGTTCAATTCCTGGTCAGGGGGTATATGATCCCCAGTGCAGGTGCATAAGGGAGGCAACTACTCAATGTTTCTCTCTAAAAGCAATGAAAAAATGTCCTTGGGTAAGGATAAACAAAACAACAAAAAACAGCACCTGAAAAGCTGATGAATATTCTGCTGAAACCCTCCCCTATGAAGAGAGACAAAACCCTGAAGACAGAATACCAGCATGGGCTCTCTCTTGAGCACAACTTTGCCCCTTCTCGGGCATGAACTTTTTACTGCCTCCTAACCTCTATGGGTCCCCATGAGACTTGCAACCAGGGGAGCAGCAGGCAGTGGCAGCTTGTCCCAGGCCTACCCCTGGTCCTGTCTGCAAAGGCTCCCCTTTCCTATGACTTTCCAGTGAGCTAAAAGCAGTCCCACCTTGGTTCACTTCTTTCATATAATGTTTATAGGGAGCCAAGGCAGAGCACCACCTGAGCTCTCCCCTGTTGCTTCTTCTACCCTAAATCCTTCCTTTGTTTGACTGTCCCCAGCTTTAATAAGCACATTCTCAAAATCACTTGGACTTGAACTGTGAAATCTTTCCTGCGTGAAGTCAAGAGCCCATACACTACAGGCCAGCTTGAGGCAGACCTGATCCAGGCCAGGTCCCTGTCTGTTGATAATTCTAGGTTATATGTTTCCTTCAGGACTCTTAAGATATGTAATTATCTTCTGGCTTCCACTATTGCTACTGAGAAGCTAGCTGCCAGTGTGATGGTGCCCTCCTGCTTCTAAGAAACAAGATTGCTCTGAGTACCGTTTTATCTCTGACTGTTTTAAGATTTCTTTGCTTTCTGTATTCTTTAATTTCTTTGTAATATATCTAGATATGAACTTATTTTGATTTATCTTGGCTTGATTATGCTGTGCTTTCTATATCTGCAGGCTCATGTTTTTCTTTAGTTCAAGAATATATTCATTTATTATCTCTCCAAATACTGGATATCCCTTCCATTCTCTCCACCCTCTTCTTCTAGAACTCTGAATAGAGCACATTTGAACTTTTCATTTGTCCTCTAGACCTTAACCTCTATGTTATATTTTTCATCTCTTTTTTATTTTATGCTGGATTCAGGGTAATTTCTTCAGTTCTCTATTTCTGTTCACTTTCAGCAGGTTTAAAGCCTTTTAACCTATCCACTGAGGGGTGCTTGTCTTTAAACAATTACATTTTCATTTCTAAAAGTTTTAGGTTCTGTGGCCAATCTGGTCAATATTTTTTTATAGTTCTTTATTGCTTTCTCTTTTTGTGATTTCATCTTTTCTTTTATGTTGTGTGTCTGATTATCATGATATATAAGTCCTGATCAGTTATTCATGGTTTCTGCTGATTCTTACTTATTGTGGTTTATTTCTTTGTGAATTTGACACAAGGTCTAGTTGTCATGAAAGGGGAATGTCCTTTGGAATTTCTTGTCTGCCATGTTGCATGAAGAAGTCTAATCCAGAGCTTCCCAACCAATATGCCATGAATGGGTCATAGAAATGCTGAGATATTTTTTTTCACCTGGCTAGCTACCACTAATAATTAGCTGCTTTGTCTATTTATCCTAATGTGCCAAGCACAAGGAAATAAATCAACATACTAAAGGCCATATATGAAAAGCCCACAGCTAACATCACCACACGCAATGGGGAAAGACTGAAAGCTTTTCCTCTAAGATGAGGAATACAGCAAGTATGCCCACTTTCACTTCTTCTATTTAACTTATTACTATAAATCCTAGCCAGAGCAATTAGGCAAGAAAAAAGAAAGGCATCCAAATTGAAGAAGTAGTAGTACATTATCTCTGTTCACAGATGACACGATTTTATATGTAGAAAACCCCAAAGCTTCCACAAAAAACTGTCAGAACTAGTAAATAAATTCAGCAAAGTTGCAGGATATAATATCAACACACAAAAACCAGTTGCATTTATATACACTAATAACAAACAATCTGAAAAGGAAATTAAAAAATGATTTCATTTGCAACAGCTCAAAAATAAATACATAGGAATAAACAAGGAGGCCCAAAACTTGTACACTGAAAATCACAAAACATTGCTAAAAAAATTTAAAAAGATACAAATAAGTGGAAAGACATCCTGCATTTATGAACTAAAAGTTAATACTGTTAAGATGTCAATACTAACCAAAGTGATCTATAGCAGTCAGGTCATCCTGCCTATCATGAGAACACACAGAACAATCTACTATTTTTTCTGATCATTAGCATTATTCTCCATTAATAGGAATCAGGGATGTTTGTAGTTATTCCCTGCCCTGGCATATATGTGCCTTGTTGTTGCTAGAAGTAAAAGTAATGATAACAACAACAATAGCAAGCTGCTAACAGAGTATTTAACATGAGTTACTGAGTATGTTATGTGGCCAGATATTGTTCCAGGTGTTTACATGGATCGATTCATTTACTATTCACCATGAGAAGTGCTGGGAAATTTATGGTCCCCAGGACAAGATTTTCCTATGACTTATCCTATGACTGGTGTGTAAGAAATATGAAGTCTCTTTCCAGTTCCCTTGTCTGATATAGGGGCAATTCTGAGGCATACATTTCACTCCAGAGTTCCAGGTATGATCAGGCTGAAGCTCGCCCTTGCAGGACTTTGAGAGCTCAACCTTGGCTGGCTTCTTCCCCTTTCCTGTCCTGCTTCTCCCACTGCTCTGCTAGTTTCCTCTGGGAGCACTTCCTTAATAATTACTTGCACACAAATCTTTGTCTCAGGGTCTACTGCTGGGGAACCTGACCTGTGACACCTAAGAAAGAGAAAATACTCATGAATTTACCTATTATTATTATTATTTTCACGAATTTACCTTTTAAAATTGATGTTGAGATTGGCAGTCATGACAAGTCCCTCAGCTTTCATTGCAGACATACCAACAGTAGCATCAATCATGGTTGCAACAGCACCTCCATGAAGGAATCTAGTTGCAACAGGAGGGAAAGAAAAGTTTTTGAATAGTGTGAAAAGAGAGAAACATTATCCAAGCATGTCCATATATTGTAATTTGCTTATGTCTATGTTCAGTGTACTAAATGTCAAATATCCATGCCCCCAACTTTAATAGCATAGTATTTGTAATAAAACAGAACTTAATGGTAGTCAGATCACAAACAAGCAAAAAGCTAAAAATATCACTTAGAAAATTTATACTTTTAGTAAACTATACATGTCATTGTTTAAAAATTTAGGAAATGCAGATAAACAGAAGGAAAAGAAAAATAAATAGAAATTATAAGGTCATCTAGTGACAAACCACTGTTAACATGTCAATGATACTGTCTCAAATTATACTCTACTGCCTTATGTCCTATGCTTCTGTGACCATAATTTATTATAAACACCTTTTCAGGTCAATAAATATATCTACATTAATATTTTAATACCTTCATTCTATGAATACATGGGGATACTGCAAGATAAAAATCTTTTAGACCCACATTTCCAGGCTATCATTCTTACCCAGGCATTCCTTGCAGGTGAGGGCCTCCTTGAAACAAGCAAACTGTCCTTTTCTCAACATCATTATAGAACATCACATATTCAAAGCCCAGGCCATCCTTAAAGGTTTCGGTGAAGATCTGGGCCTGTGACAGTTGTTCTTTGTCTACAAGTTTTGCAGTTGTAGGCAAACGACCTGGGTGGTCACATGAGAAACAGATATGAGAAAGATGCCGTGACAGAGCTATAAACATCTGTGCCCTGCTAGAATAACAGGTCAATAAATGACTGATTACAATGTTAACCAGTTATAAAACTAAAGGGAGCACTGACTGGTGTGGCTCAGTTGATTGGGCATTGTCCCACAAAGCAAAAGTGTGCTGGTTCGATTCCTGGTCAGGGAGCATTACTTGGGTTGTGGGTTTGGTCTTCGGTTGGGGTGTGTAGAAGGCAGTTGGTTGATGTTTCTCACAATGATGTTTCTCTCCCTCTCTTTCTCCCTCCCTTCCTCCCTCTCTAAAAATAAATAAAATCTTTAAAAAAACTGAAGAGAATGGGAGGGTATCAAAGAAACAGAATATAAGATCTTTGCCCTTATGGAATTAACAGCCTAACTGGGGACATAGTAAATTTAAATGAAATAATAACAAAGAACTTTCTTATACATGGCAAACATGTATGTTTCTCATACATGGCAAATATTTATGGTACATAAATGCTGAGGATATACTGGATAAAATGCTAAGGTGTACATTGAAGTCCTTGGAATAAATGTGGTTTAAATGAGATTTAAAGCCCTAGGTAGTGTGGCTCAGTGGACTGAGCACTGGGCTGTGAAGCATGGGGTCGCAGGTTCGATTCCTGGTCAGGGCACATGCCTGGGTTGCCAGCCTGGTCCCCAGCGGGGGGTGTGTGAGAGGCAACCACACATTGGTGTTTCTTTCTCCCTCCCTTCCCTTCTCTCTAAAAATAAATAAATAAATAAAATCTTTTAAAAATAAATGAGATTTAAAGAAAATGAATAATGTAACAGTAGGGAAGTTTTCTTGCAGAAATGAGTTTAGCCTGAGCAGAAGAGAGTTATCATAGTGGAACAGAAACCAGTTTAGTCCAGCCTACTATTCCATGTGATTATGACTCTTAAGTTCCCAGACTTGGGGTTAGAACCATTAGGGTTCATCAAATCAAATTAGTGAGTTATAATCAAGCTTTAAAAAGAAACAGAATGCTTCACATATATCCTGGGGAAGTAGTAATGCACTTGTTTGTATACAATTTTTCAATTAGACAACTGTGCACAAGTTGTACATATTAGGTTGTGAGTTAAAATGCAGGTCACTTCAAAATAAAGACTGAAAACTATTGCTCTAAACAAAAGGCATATTTGTCCTTTCATATCTACTTCAAGATTTCACTCCCCGAACTCTTAGTTTTTTTCACAGCTCATTATGATTTGCTATGCATAACATTATCTAAGTTTCTTTTATAATGCTACCGAATTAACGTTTACTGACTTGGAAAAAGATATGAGATGAGAAGATCTGGGAGAAGGTCAGGCAGGGTGACTTTTACTTAGGCCATGAGCATCCTGGGGGGTGGGCACCCTGTCTTTTAGAATTTGTATGCTCAGCAACTGGAATAAATATGTACTCTATATTCTCTAGCAGCTGTTGAGAAGATGAATGATTTAGAGGTTCAATGAAACTTAAAACTGAGCTCCAGTATCATGGTATAGTAAAAAGAACCTTGTCCTGGGAATCGGGCCTACAACTTGCTCATTTCTTCACGCTTTATCCACACAGTGGGGAGATAAACCTAAATGACTTCTAAGATCTCTTCCAACTCCGACATTCTGGAATTTCAGGGTAAGATAAGCACTGCACCTTTTAATTTTTACTTAGGAGTCCAAAACTTACGGTCTAGATTATCAAACCTTGGGGTTATCTCATAAAAATGAAAAAAAAAAATAAAGATGGTGGAATCAGTTTGTTAGAAATGCAGAATCTTAGGCTCTATCCCTGACCTACTGAAGCATGACCTAAATTTTAACAAAGTTCCCAGGCATTTCATATTTGTATTTAAATCTGAGAGGCACTGGTATTTTAAAACACGGGATAGCACTGAAGGAAGCAGAGGAGTAACATGATAGGCCTGCATTTTGAATTACTCTGCCAGCTGGATGAAAGGAGGGATTTGTGGGGCATCAGAAAGATGAATGAGAATACCACTGAAACACTATAAAATCACAGTCACCCAAGTTATCTGCTAGGTGGGATTGTTTTCTCCAGCAATGCTCAGCTATATGAGGACCTGAGCAAAAAAAGAGATGGCAGATGGTTACATTCATCCAGGGCCCCAGGACTGGGGTTTTCCTAAAAAGTAGACGAGAGAAGTTAAGACAGAAGGGGGCAAAGGGAAGGAACAATGAGAAAGTAGAGGACTCAATGAACTGAAGGTTTTAATGAGGTCAAAGAACTGTTTCTGTGGTGCCCTTGAACAAGTAAGTGAGAAGGAAAGTCATCAGAAAACAGGATGTCTAAATGTGTGGATTTGGAGGTTGTGCACTTTCTGAAGATGATAAGGCTCAAGATGTCCAAGATGTCCTTGGGGGTGTGTAGCTGGGCTGGGTGAAAACGTTCACAGTTGATGGGGAAACAAATGAACTGAAGAGTCATGGTGTAGATGCTGGAGTTGCTGAGGATGGTGAATGGAATTGGGTAGAGAGGAAATGGTTAACAAGTTGCTGAAATACTCAACATATGAGGGAGAAGTTGGTAGATGACAGCAAGGAGGGGAGGAAGAGGAGGGTGATAAGCACAGATGATATAAACCTCAAAGGAATGGGGCTTTTCTCAAAGAAAGGGGAAGTAGTGGTTTGAAAGCAAGTGTGGATAAAGAAGAGGACCTCAAATTCTTCCCTATTCTGAGAGGGTCAATTTTCAGGCATGGGAAGTTGAATAGGTTGGATGAGGGGATGAGCAGAACCATGTGGGAACAAAACCCTGGAAAATAGTGACATTTAGGGAGCAGGTAGAGAGAAAGAGGGAAGATTGGTCAGAGAGGTTATGAAAACCAAGAAAAAAAGTTTCAAGGTGAATGAAATGAACAGCTAGGGTTGAAAAATGTCCACCAAATTTGGCACTTAGGTCACTAGTGGCTTAAGTGAAGACATTTCTGTACAGCTGTTAGGGTAGAAGCCAGACTGCCCTGGGTTAAGGACATTTAAGTAATTGTGTGACATGGTAAATAGTGAGAATGGAATTAGTAATACAGATTACTATTTTTTCTGCTTCATTTGCAAAATAGAGTAATTCTTATTTCTATCCATTGGAGGTTGTACTTGTATAAAGAAACTTATAAACTCTATTTTTTCTTGGTTAAGGTAGTTTTTTTTTTTTTTTTGGATTTTACTTACTTATTTTTAGAGACAGGGGAAGGAGGGAGCCAGAAAGGGAGAAAGAGAGTGAAGAGAAACACTGATGCAAGAGAGGAACATTATATGCACTCTGACCAGGACTGAATCTGCAACCCAGGAATGTGCTCTGACCAGGAATTGAACCAGCAACCTTTCGCTTTGGAACAATGCCCAACCAACTGGGCCACATTGGTCAGGGCTTGGTTAAAGTAGTTTCATTTTTGTTTCATTCATTCCTTCAGCAAATATTGAAATATGGTACCATGAAGAAACAAAGGTAAGGAAAGGTAAAATAACTTGTCTAGAGTCATACAGCTTTAAATTGTGGAACCAGAATTTGAACACACATACTACATTTCAACCATTAAATTAGGAAGTTGCCAGCTTTTGGATGGCCTTTAAAGCCACAAAAATGAATGAGATTACTAATGGAGTATTGAGAAGACTAAGGCCTGAGACATGGAGCACCTTGACGTTAACAGTGTGAGGATAAGGAGGCATCAGCCAAAGCAGGTGAAAAGGAGGGACCAGTGAAATGGGAAAATGCAGTGTCCTGGAAGCCAAGTTCGAGGAGAAGGGAGTCAACTTTGCCAAAAGATGAGAGAGGTCATTAGTTAGCAACATGAAGGTTACTGGTGCCCTTGGCAGGAGTAGTTTTGATGAAGTGGTAGGAGTGAGAGTCTGATTGGAGTGGGTTTAACAGAGACTGGGAAGAGAGAAATGTGGTTGTGGTACATCTGCATGTTGATGAGAGATATCTCAGAAAAGGGACATCCTTAAGTAGGCCAAAGGGATGGAATGAGGTGCACAACTGGAAGGCTTAGCCTCTCCTAAGAGCATGGACAGTGCACTCAAAACAGGAAAAAGCAGAGCATTAGGACAGCTCCAGGGAGGAGGTTAAATGAGGCAGTGGGAGACTGGAAGTTCTATTCTGACTGCTTTTATTTTTTCTCTCACTGAAATAGGAGGCAAGACCAACTAAGAGTGAGGCTTGAGGAAAAGGCAGAAAATAGCCTAGGAGAGCAGCTGAGGGAATAGATGAGGGAAAAAAGAAGTACGACTGTCAGCCAACATTAAGGGTTTACTTCAGTTCATTCTTTATAAAACCATCACAATTTCCAAACCATATCTTTCTTAAAGATATGTTTGGATTAAAATATAACAAGTAAATTAGGAAATATCTGCATAAGCTTCATGAGGTCAGGGACCCTATTTGTGTAACTCAGGCCTGTTTCAGGAATACACTCGGCATAGCACAGATGCCCAACAGTTGCTAAACCAATAAATACTAGATGTTGCAAATAAAAAATCAAAAAGGTCTTTATAGGCTGAGTCTAAAAATGAAGAGATAGGCCTGACTGGTGTGGCTCATTGGGATGGGTGTTGTCCTGCAAAGCCAAGGTCGCTGGCTCGACTGCCAGCCAGGGCACAGCCTGGGTTGTGGTCCAGCTCTCTGATTGGGGACGTGCGAGAGGCAACCGATCAATGTTTCTCTCCCTCTCTTTCTCCCTCTCTTCCCCACTCTCTAAAAATAAATAAAATCTTTAAAAAAATAAAAACAAAGAGAGATATATATATTCTTCAGTTCAGCTCAGTAAGTTAGCCATGTAAATACAGAAGAAGGGAAACAAATAATTCAAATGAAAGACACAGGGTATTAGTTGACTGTCAGTCAGTGTGACATGGCTACTTACCAAGTACTAATGTCTTATTCTGCATGGGAAGATCATAATTTGAGTTCAAGCTTAATTCTGGGAAGTAGACACTAGGGATTTTGAGAA